AACATTCACATATATTTTACAACTGAAACAATAGAAGTCATAAGATAAGTGCAAAAATTGACAATGACCAGCTTCTTAAATGTCGAATATTTTAACTAACCTAAGCACTTCAAGAAACAAAGGAAACTTTGCCTACCTGGCATTGCCGATATTATAGAATGCTCTACTCTGGTGCTGCCAGCTTTTCGACACTGATCAAATCACAGAATGTAATAAAGGTAGCTAAAGGTTTCTCAGACATTCTCAAATAATTTACCTTTTAATCACATCGAAGGAGAAACTAAACAGGAAAAATAAAACAGTACATAGTTAGCTAAATAGATAAAACATCAATTCATTTGCCTTTTGATCTAAATCAATGGTTCCAAAAGAAATCCGATTGGTCCTCGGTGACTTGATGAAGGTCTACGTTTGCAACAAAAGAGCCTCCTCTTTTGTCTCAAGTTGTAAATGAGATGAAAAATCAACTGATATACACAATTGAAAAATGACTGATTAAATTCTCGCTTAACCCTTGGTGAAACATTATTAAATTAAATTAAATACTTGGCTTAATGCAATAGGCTCTTTGACAATGCGAAAAATAAAGTGCCAATTACTGTTAACAGTATATATTAAGAGTTAAAAAATGATTATTTATTAACGTAAGTTGAAAATAATGATTAATTTATTTAAAAATCTGTAAATAAAAACAGCAATTTTTAAACGTTTATCACGTGACACAAAACGCTCCTGATTGGTCGAGTTTATCATGACGTCACCTGCTTGTAAACTTTGTAGTTTCGTACATAACCTAGTTGTGGTAGATTAAATTTCCGTTATAATAAGATTTTTCTTCATTATCACCTTTTTGCACTATTTTACAAGTACCTACTTTTAACCATGGACAACGATTTTGTAAAAGCAGACAGCAGAAACCTGCCCCAAGTCGACGCAATCATGGTCCGATTGTTTTTCAAAAATAATCCCGACTTTTATGCTTCGGAGCTAAAAAATGTAAAAACAGCAAAGTAAGTATAATTACACTGTACTGGTTACTGTTACAACAGGTTCTGTTAACGTACTTTTGTCACATTTTTGGGATAATTCTGAAAATAAAATAGATTTATTAATTTATGAATAATTCAGAAATTATATAGTATTATGTCTTAGTTAACTGGGATAACTCTCTGGAAGTGTAGAAATAATTTCAGTACAATTTAGAAATAAAGTTCACCTACCTTTTGTACAAGTTTCAACTACAGTAGCAGTATGCTCATCATTGGTTAACGTAGGTTGATGAATATCTTCGCATTGTTTAACAAGTTCCATTCTTTGCCGTTTGACAAATGCAGATCGGGAAGTACCAGCATCACACATTCTTTTAATTCGATCTGGCTGGCAATGAAATTTAGAAGGCAAAACTTTTATCTTTTAAAATTATTTTCTGACTGAAACCCATTTTGTACTGATAGTAATTTGCACGTCATTTTCCATCTGTAACAAAGAAACAAATTAGTCAAGATCTTTTAGTGTACTGCTTATTGAAATCATAGGACTCTGTAGCTACAAATTTTTACAAATATTATGGAAAACAGCAGAAATATTCGAAGTGAGTTGCAAGAGTCATTCTGATAAGGACATTAGAGGTATTATAACCTCAAATCAATAACGAAAATATTAACGTTCGGAATGTAATTAATTATTACAAAATATAAATATTATGTTTACTTATATCGAAATGGTCTTCACAAAAGAAAATATTTGTTCTATTCGCTATGTCATTATGATCCCTCCGAGAAAGTTGCAACCACTTTCGGAGCACTTCGACATTCTTTGGAACACTTACAAATAGTTTTTCCGGAGTTTTTAACGACGTGTTTGTACATTTAGGAACTCTTTTTTTGTTACATAAATCACTGATAAAATGTAAATCCAATCGCACTTTCGTTTTTTGTTTACAACAAACAAATAGGCCAGCTGTCACAGATAATACCAAAGATCACTACGTTCACAGGCAAGTGACGTCACCGACCGCCATATTGTCAAAGTAGCGTTTTGGCACACTAGGTGAATATTTAATTCGATATTTTTCAGCTAATATATACTAGAATTAAAAATACAACTTTTACTGGGTTCATTAGACTCTACTACTTAATATAAAATGGATTTTAAAAACCTGTCCAATAGCCTAGTGCTTAATTTAATTTGATATACAATTGAAAAAAATAACGTAGAAAAAAAATTCGAAAAGTTAAACCGATTTTTTGTCAGAGGAAGAAGCAGAATAAATTTTACAACACAATTATATATGTGGTTCCTACTCGCTAAACTAAAGCTTTATCTAAGGCTTAATCTTAAATGTTAAATGAATCTTAATTGTTAATGCGCTATTAATGTTTATGTTTAGACCACTAGAAAATACTCTTTTTTTTCAAATTTTTCCACTTCAAATTTGAAATTGAAACTCATCCTTGACGAAAATTTCCATCATTAGTTCTGATCTCCATATTTTTGTCGAGGGTTGAAAACATGGAGGAAGAGTAGCAACAGTGTAGTTCTAATCTTCACATTTCGATTGAGGGTTAGGAACTTACCAAATGTAGCAGCAATGGACTCCACCAAGAGCACTAATTTAGGAACAAACCTTGGAAATTTCTGCTCTAAATTGAATGCTCGGGACAATTAGGTAGTCCAAGAAGTAGGTATATAGAATGAAGAAATATGTCTTACCTATAATACAATAAAAACCTAGTGAAGAAAACCTAGAAAAGGAGAAACATCTCTTTCGAGCAACTCCAACATGAAAATTTAGTTATTATAAATGGTCACAAAATGCTCCTTCTAATCAATGAGTCTAACAAATGCTGAATACCAGAAACCTCAACCCCTAGAAAAAACACAGACATAGAATGCAAGATGCCAAAGAAAATCTAGAAGCAATTGAAGAGAAAGAGTATAATGCATTGATCATAAAAAGGACAGCAACAGAACGATTAAGGTGAAGTGTTATAAGATACCAAGCAACTTTAGCTTAATATATGTTAAGTCTGAGTTATTAAGGCCTGCAGTTTGATATTACTGCATGCCAAATGAGACAACCTGGCGAACAAGATTTCGATTATTATAATATCATTTTCAGTGCAGTAGCATTAAGAGAATAATAGTCATTATCGGGATACACATGGCGCATAATAGCTATTAAATAATATCGGTGTAATATCAGGTGGTATCGATAGGGAGGTCAAAGCAAAAAGCTGAGAAGTCGAAACACATTGCAGCAACATGTGTGGATGAAGATATATTGAGAAATTGAAATTCCACTTACAATAAATCTTGATTTTTATACACCGGACAACAAATTGTTACCTGCTGACATTATTGAGCTGCAGGTCATTGCAGAGCTCGATCCAGAAGCTTGCAATATGCAACAGTTTCAGTCTGTGCTCCGCAATTACCCGCACAAATTAAATATTTGGTAAATTGGTTTTTAAGAGATTTCCATATTGGATCGTGTTGACGATTCCGAAAGTGAATTCTTTGCCTTAACAGGCCTCTCAATTTGCGGTAATTATTGAAATTAAATTATTAGTCTCATTTTCACTTATCGTCAATACAGGCTTCAATTTAATTTTCGTCGTTGAATAATTTAAGTAACAGATTAAATTCCGGTAGAAATTTCAATACTGTGGACCGGCTCTTTTAAAATTCATCGTATTTTGATTTTTTTCACATTTTAAAGTACCTAGGTATTGTTTCTTCATTCTAGATTCACCACTTTTATTTAATTTACTTTGATTCTAAAATATGATTTTACAGATCCCTAAAATATTAGGTATATTTTATAAATAACTACGACAATCTGAACGAGCACAAATATATCTACGAAGGAAACGATATTCTACATTGAAAACATGTCATAAAAACGATGAGGCAACGGCATTTGTCAAAAATAGGATGGTAGGATACTTATACAATCCTTATGAATATATTTCGAAATATTGATAAGTATTTCTAATATTAATAAATGATCGGAGAATATGAAATTGCTATTGATTAATTAACCTACTTGTCACAACTGTCAAATAGATTTCCTTGATCGAAGGTATATCAGAAGAATTCTCCACAATTTTTCACCAAGATTCTAACCACAAGAAAAGCATCACAGATCTTAGATTGATCACTCGATATAAACAACATTTGATATATTAGAGACTACACATTACAAACTTCTAATTTTTTTTCATTAGGTATACAAATTTCACTAGTAATGTTTAATGATTAACGAAATTAATGTCGGTTTACTTCTTATGGAACTATTTGTTTTATAAATACACTTTCGTTTTTATATGAACGAATATTAACGAATTGTTTCGTGATCGATATATCAGAACTGATAAGTTATCCTATCCTTATAATTTTTGAATAGAAGGTATTCATACTTACATTTCTTTAATATGTTGAGTGGCTTGGTACTTACTTTTAGCATTTTGTGTAAGCTGCGGTGTCCGAGTGGTTAAGGAGATGGACTTGAAATCCATTGGGTTCTACCCGCACAGGTTCGAATCCTGTCCGCAGCGACATGTTTTTATACTGCTATATCATTATGTTCAATTTTTTTCATATATGAATTATCCAAAAAATAATAAAAGCTTTTCTTCTTAATTTTTGAATATATTAAATAATTATCGTACATAAATTGTTCCTAACACTAAAATTTTATACCTCAAACAAATAATAATTTGAAGAAAAGTGCTGTGATGTGGAATCTAAGAAAATTGTGTAATAAATACTGAATAAATTTACTCATACTTAACGAAATAACCATAAAATCAAAGTTTCATTTTCAATATTAATTTTGGTTAGTTCAATAACAAACGTCAAATAATTATGATTAATTCATAACCAAATAATCATAAAATCGAAGTTTATTTACAAACTATCCTTTCTTACTTTTATGTAATGTTTTACGTTAAATATTTTCTGCAATCTTTTTTGAATCAATATATAAAAACATACCACGCTGCGGACAGGATTCGAACCTGCGCGGGTAGAACCCAATGGATTTCAAGTCCATCTTTTAACAAATCTTTATTTACAAATATTAACAATACGTATATAATACATGAGTTATGCAAAAATTTAACATTATATATCTTAAACTAAATACATAATTCATTTTTCATTACAATCTTAAAATTTTCACAGTTCCTACTTATTAGTTTTACTGTACATTTACTTCGTTTTTGACAAATATCATCTTGATATATATATGAGGGATCATATATGTGTAGATGATCGCTTTGCCTTTAGGTAATTATTTTTTTTTTTTATATTTTATTTGTGCATTATCATTATATTTACATATTTTAATTCTACAATACAGGAAACTATTTGCGAAAACCTGTTTTTGATACTTATGTCGTCTGACGAATTGTTGGCTTCTGTATTCGATTATAATCATATCTAGCAGAGGTCACCAAAGGAATGCTTTTCTACGAGATTTGAATACCAGGTATGTGGTAGTGCGTTTTTGGTTCATATTCTCTCGAATATAACTTAAATTCAAACACTTGAACTTATGATTTACACTTTATTGACTACATAGCATGACGCGTTTTGTCGTTACAAACGACTTCTTCAGATGCTTACAGAATAATTCAGAATACAGAATCACTTTCAGTCGTTTTTTAATTCTCAATGAATTTAATGTCTTTAATAGAGATTTTGGGGAAAACCCCAACACAAACAGGTATAAATCACTACGCTGAGGATTTATAATCCTTCACACAAAAGTAACTTTGCCTTCGCACAGGTAATTTCAAACGATGTTCACTCTACGATGTCTTGAACAAGAATCCATTAAACTTTAACACTGAGAAAAAAAACAAGTAGTAATATGCACTCAATGTATGAGTTGAAATTAAAAAACAAAAAGCTTACGGCACGCGGTGTTCCCAAGCGGTCACCCATCCAAGTACTGACCGCGCCCGACGCTGCTTGGCTTCAGAGTTCAGACGAGATCTGGCATTTTCAGCGTGGTATGGCCGTAAACTAGCACTTAGAAAATTTTTTTCTGTACCTCAAGCAACAGTTATCGGTACGACATAATATGTGTTTTATATTTTTTAAGAAGTTCTTATTTTAGTGCTATATAGTAAGAATTTTCCTTTAGTAATTTATAACAAGTTTTCGATCTCCTCCGTAAAAAGTCCGATTGAAAAAATATACTAAAATAGAAGTCGAAAATAAATATGGAAATATTAAATAAATATGGAAATTTTTCAAAACACAAATTATTCACTTCAGTTATTTAATCCTGCGTTCGAAACAAAATTATTATTGACGTTGTAGCTGAATAAAAAACGAACTTATTTTCATGTAGGTATACTTGATACAATTCTTTTGTTGCTAACAATTACTGAATCAATAGTTTTAGAGTTGCTAAATACTGCTACAGTGTAACAAATCTTCAACTTGAAATTAAATCACAATTCCAAATCTCTACTTGTAGGTACTTGTAGGAAGTTATAGCATAGATGACAAATATATGTTGTAAATTAAACTGTAACAACATATTGTCTTGAAATGATAGAAATAAATCTTCACTTATAAACTGTGAAGTATTATTGTGATACCTACTTGAGTGAAGAATAAATAAAATAAAATGAATAAGTACATTTCATATATTTTATTCTATTATTATCATTTAAATGAATTTGCAAAAATCAATTACCATTTTGAATTACCAATTGATTACCATAATGGTAATCAATTATCACTACTTTTCAAAATTTGTATTAATTTTCAAACTAATTAGACGTTATTATGTAAAAATAATTTATATCCTATTTTCATTCCATCAGCTTTAAGGAAGAGAAAATAAATGTATGACTTTTTGAATTTTCCCCCTCAATATTTTCCTATTATTTATATATATATATTATCAAATCAGGTTCATTAAATATGGTTTTCAAAATAATAATTTTGAAAAATAATTTTCAAAATAATATGAAAAAAAAATACTTCATCATTAGGGAAATTATTTCATCAATTGACGTTCTTTTACTGCTAAAAACTTGAAAATTCATATTTAAAATTCAGTTCTTAAAAACTCATCGGATTGTTATTCAAGATTTGTCAAATGTATCACTCACTTCGGAGATCTGAACCGAATTTTATCGACAGATGCCGAGTATATCCGATTATGCCCGCTACCTTTTAATTGACAGGCGTAGTAAGACTGAAAACTGAAATCACCTAATAAAAAATTTCACTCACAAAAAAAATCAAGGTACGAAACTGAAATAATTAATGAAAGCGTAGAATATAAGGCTGACAACGCAATGAACTTATTTTATATGTAGTTTATATGAATTTATTTTTGTTTTTTACTCTGCAAATCCATTCCTTTCTAAATTATTTGAGTAAGATTTGATAGAATCTTATATTTCAATATATTATAGGAAAATATTAAGGAAGAGGATAACTGGAAAAGTCAAACATTTATTTATTTGCACTGAAAGTTGAACTTCCATTAGAGTGGAAATTCATAGTAGGTATATTTCATTTAATAATGCTTATGAAATATACCATGTAATTTTATGTATACTTCATCTCCTTATAACAATAATACCCACCGCTTATAAGTCAAAATTTATTTGCTTCATTTCAAAATAAATCGTTTCTATAATTTCATTTACATGTCCAATCGGTTATCTTCGACATTACTTCGTACATGTGGTTACGCTGTTGTAATAATAATAATAATAAGCGTTTATTTCCAACAGGTAACTACCCAATTACAGGAAAATACATAATGAATAAATTTGGTCACTGAAAATATCAATAACCACATAGATATACAACATTATGAAATAATTATAATAATAAAAAAACCATATCAAATATGATGATCCAAAACTAAAATGTCAATATCTAAATGTTCAATTATAACAATAATATAGGAAACAAATCACTCAGAACTCCATTGGAAGAAATCAAGATACCTCACTGTTAAGATTTAAGTACTTATTTACGATAGAAACAAGTGAGTCCCAGTGCAAATCACAGCAGCTTGATATCTGGTTTGCAGTAGAACATACAAAGCTAAGCGGCGATTGCGAGAGAAGATTGGTTCTGTGGGTTTTTAAGTAAAATGTCTGGCTTATTCTAGTACACCTAGGAGGAACGAAGAAATTAAGTTTGCCCAGAAGCTCAGGACAGTCGAGATTATCATTGAGCAAATTGAATAAAAATTTCAATGCATTCAAACTTCTCCTGGTGTGGAGGCTTCTAGTGTCAAACCTCGATAGCAAACAAGCGTGATCACAACCCCTAGGTGGATATAAACCATCCTCTCGAAATGCGAGCCATTTCAAGAACTTCCTCTGCAGTGCCTCCAGGCGGTTTATGTGACAATTATATATTGGTCGCCAAACAAGACAGCCATACTCAAGTTTGCTTCTCACTAGGTATTCTTCTCACTTGTATTTATACATCAACTCTAAAACATCTCCAATGCATTCAATTACGCTAAATGGCAACTCTGCTTCCTACCCGAGCTTTTGTTCTTTCAGGCGAAAGAATATCAATTTCTAATATTTGGAATCATCCCATCGCAAGTTTTAGTTGAGGAATAAGAATCTGGAATCAGACTCTGAATAAGCTGTCTGAATTTATGTGAGAAACTTGTTAGATTTTTAATTGTTGAAACTCTGAAATTGTGATTTGGTTCATTAAATTGTGGACGTCTAATAAAATATTGGAATGCTATTGAAATTGTATAGGTTATTGCAATGACATGCAAAGATGTGTATTTTGAAGATTTTGCTTGGAGATTTAATACGTCGGACAGAATCTTTGGAAAGGTGTCATGTTGATTTTCTCTGATTAATTCGATGAGTTTGTGCAATTTTTAGGTTTCATTTTACACCGTAAAATAATTTTTAAAAAAATGCATACCATAGTCTTGCTAAAATCATCTTTAGAAATAATTTGAAAAAAAGAACATTATTATTAGAGAAATCATATTCAACCATAAGAAAAATATATTTCTCACAGTAAATTTCTATCAACTGACGGCCTCTTATTGCAGAAAATTTAAAATTTCATCTTCATGGATTTCAAAAAAAGCTTCGTGATCGTTTCACCGACAGCATTGACGCGACAATTGTCTTCGAAGGAAATTTGAACTCGTCGTGATCAGAATTGAGTAATTCAACTGAAAGATGTAGATCAACTCTACTTCAATTATTCAGTGGCGAATTTACAAATTTGTCGCTACTAGGCCATTCAATTTTTGCCGCCCCTACTGACTTTTGAAATTCAATACGTTAGTTTAATCCCGTTATTAGTATGATTGTGAACTTAATGATATTTTTGTCAGTTACTAGATTATTTTTGCAACCCGCTATGTACTGAAGAGTTTAATGCTGACCTAACAAGTTTATTTGACAGGCAAAACAAAAAACCCCCGACTTTAAAGCGTAAAACCTCTGTAACTTTTAAACGGCTCAATCGATTTTCATCAATCGATTTTCATCAAACATGTCTAAGAACACTCGCCCGTAAAACACCTGTAATACAAAAAAACTAAATTGAAATCGGTTCATTCGTTCGGGTGCTATGATGCCACAGACAGACAGACAGACAGATACGTCAAACTTATAACACCCCTCTTTTTGCGTCGGGGGTTAAAAACAGCAGCATGTACTAATCATAAGGTGGGGAAAGGCATGACTTAAAAATACTTACACTATATGAACACAGCGTAATAATGAGTGGCCAGAAAACATTGTTTTTGTTACATCTTTTTTATTGCACTTAACAGTTTAAAAACAATACAAACAATTTCTATTAAAATATAACATGTTAACAATCAGTTAATTGTGACAGACAATGAGATCAAATAAGTTTTACATTATTTTCTTGCGACATTTCAAATTTGCAAAATCATCAATTATATCGTCGTATGAAATCTTTTTCATAAGTTCTGACTCTATGCACAAAAGAGATAAAGCATTGAGCTTTTCTTGACTTAAAGTAGATCGTGGATAGTTTTTAACCCGTTTTAAGCAAGAAAAGCTTCTCTCACCTGAACAATTTGT